GTGGCTGCATCCCGGGCACCCAATGGCTTCCACTGCAGTAGGGCCCCTCTGCCCTGTTGGCACTTAGGGATGCTGCAGAGCCATGCCTGTCTCATATGCTGCTCCTGCCCTGGACTAACTTGGAGATCCTGGGGACACACCTAAATGGGACACGGCCTCCCCACTCCCACTTTCACTCTAAAACCCCAGGGGTCTACCAATCACTTCAAATCTTTAGAAGAGATGTGATTAGCTCAGGCCCAAACCTAACACATTTTCTGAGCTTCATGAAGTTTGGTCAATGACATGTGCTACACAGTACGATGGCATTTTGAGATGTCACATCATAGGCTGATTAATGCCACAGAATACTACTACAATAAGGAACACTACAGAGAGGAACATACAAGGCACATATGTACATAATATGAAATAGACATGCACAGAAATAGGAATTACATGGGCTGAGAAAAAATGCAAATACAAATCAGTGTGAAGAATGCACAATGGGCTTACCTTCCTTTTGTTTGTTTTCTTACAATGAACATTTGTTACTTAGCATAATCAGTTTTTAAAACCATCCTATAAAAATGAAGTTAAACTCCAGGCAAGAAAAAAAGAGACTGCGCAGCAGAGCCATCTCCACATCCCACTCCACTCAGTCAAGGCCCAGGCCACCCCACTGAGGCCTCCCGAGACCTGCAGGCGCATGCCAACGGCCAGGATCTGAGGGCTTCGCATCGGCCTACTCAGAGGCAGTGAACACCAAGGAAAGGGTTAATGCACCATTCGGGAGAAGAGGAAGGCTTCCATTTCTGATGAGATGGAGCAACCGTCCCATAGTAGCCCTCCCACTGTGATGCAAAACCTGTGATGCAACTGTAATCAGACAGCAGGAAGTGCAACTGTGACCTGCGAGGCAGCGGCAGAGTGAGGTGAACTCTGACTCCAGAGGCAGTCTCTGCGCCCTGGGCCAGGGAATTGAGCCCAGCAGAGCGGGGAGCCTTGCTGCAGAGGAGACAAAGGTAGGAGTTCAGGAATGCTGAGGAAGCTGGAATCTGCACAGCAGAGTAGCAGAGACAGTCCAGAGGGGTCCCCTGCAGCCTTTGCACACTAAGCTGCACATCTGCAGCATGAGCCCACAGGAAGCTATGGGGCTGAAAGCTTGAACATGACTCGAACTTACACAGGCTGAGAGTCAGGCAAGTTCCAAGCAGACAGAGTGAAAAGTGTCACTGAGCACACAGCATTCAGTAGAGACCCCAGAAAAGCCATACCCTAGGGCCAAGCCATCCCTAAAGAAAGCCTCAAAAGGACTGTAATGACCTGCAAGTGACAAGACCACTGCCCAGGACAGAGCTCAGCATTCACTGGTAGGTGAGACCGAAGTCTAGTCGCCAGGCAGTGTTCACCAAGTGCAACATCTAAGCACACAGTTCTACAGGGAACGTAACCCGTAGTAAGGAGAAAGGGCAGGCAACAGAGATCCAGGAACGACAACATGAGAGAAAGAGCAGACGAGGACTTGAAAACAGCAATAAATGTCCAAAAATTTAAATGAAAACATGAACATAACAAATATGGAAACAATAATCAAGAAGCAAATTACTTCTAGAGCTGAAAAATACCATATGTAAAATGAAAAATTCTCAAGTTCACAGCACATCTATATTGGCTCTGAAAGGCAATAAAAACTCTCCAAAATCAAGGTAAGAGAGAAAATAGACTGAGGAGAAAAGGTTCACTGTCCTGTTGGATACTATTACACAGTGTAACATACATGTAATTGGACTTCCATAAAATCACAGAGGTACAACAGATTCAAATTGCTAAGAAAACAAAGATAAAATCTTTTAAGCAGCCTTAGATGGAGTGAAATAGACCCACTAGATACAGGAGAATTAAGAATGACCACTGACCTTTGCTTAGAACAATAAAAGCCAGAAAACAGACCATCTTTCAAGTTCTAAAACAGTTGTTAACCTAGAATTTATATCTACCAAAAATACCCTGTAAAATGAAGACATTTTCACTTAGGAAAAAAGCTGAAAAAAATGTGTTGCCAGCAGAGATCTGCACTTCAAGAAATAGTAAATGAATGGGCTGAAGGAAAACACAGATCTGCACAAAGGAACAAAGTGTGCTAGACCTGGTAAATTTAGAAATCAGTGGGACATTTTTCCTTTCTCATTTTAAAATTTATTTAAATTATCTAAAGTAAAAACAGCAACACTGCATTGTGGGACCTCTAATACATATGGAAATAACCTTCATCACAACAACAGCAGGAAGGATGAGCATTCCACTGTAAAGTTCTTGAAGTCTGTGAGAAGTGGTGGAACATCTCTGAACACAGACTGCAGCGAGCTGCTGATGCATACTGCAGACCTGAGAGAGACCCCAAAAACAAACAAAAGTGATGGGTTGCCAATAAACCAACAGAGAAGATAAAAAGGGGATATTAAATACAATCAACCCCAAAAAATGCAGACCAAATTGGAAAAAGGAATACAGAACTGGGGTAAGTAGAAAAATCAAAGAAATTCACAGTCATATCAATAATCACATTAAATGTAACCAATAAAATGCACCAATTGAAAAGCAGACTGTCTGCATGGATAAAGAAATAAGACCCTCTTTACAAGAAATGTGCTCTTAATGTAAAGACAGAATTGGGTTAGGAGTAAAAGGATGGAAAAAGATATACCACATAAACAAAAATCCTAAGAAATTGGTGGCTGTGCTAATAACAAAGTGAACTTCAGAAGATAATCAAGGGGAAGTCCATGAGGATATGGAGACATGAACACTGCCAACCCACCTGACCTCTGGAGGACACTAGCCAACACCCAGAGATGGTACATTCTTCTCCAGCATACACAGAACATATACCAAGGTAGCTCATATGTTAGGCCACAGTATAAGTCAAAAAATTTAGAAGGACTAAAATTATACAAAGTGCTCTCTGACTACAACAGAATTAGAAATCAGTAACAAAAAGATATCTGGGAAATCCCCAAATATTTGTAAATATATTTGTAAACAACACACTTAAAAGTCACCCATAGGTCAAAGAAGACATCCAAAAATTAAGTCATTTTGGTCTGAATGATAGTGAAACAAACAAAATCTGTGGGAAGCAGCTGAGACAGTGACCAGAGAGAAATGTGTATCTTTAAATGCTTATATTGCAAAAGAAGATTTAAAATAAAGACCTATGTTTCTACCTTAAAAAGCCAGAAAGGGAAAATTAACCCAAAGTGGAAGGAAGGAAACCCTAAAGTAAAAATAAAGAAGAAATTATTGAAAAAGAAAAATGGGTAAATAATAGAGAGGGAAAAAAAATCAATGACCTGAATATCAAGAAAATGGGAAAACCTTGACAGAAATACTGGAATGAAACACTTCTGTTTGGGATCTAATATTGAGATTTCTAAGTCACCTGAAACTTTTTCTACCTTCTTTCAAAAATGATTTCAAAATTGCTTCATGAGAGGCACTAGGCAAACTGTTTCCTGACAAATTCACACTAGAACCATCTTCTAAAGATTAAAATGTAGGAGGCACCGTAATCACCCAATACAACCCCAGTCACCTAATACAATGAGAAAGAAGAAAACAAGGCAAAGAAAACAAGAAAATGGCTGATCACCAGCATACGGGTCACCCATGTACGGGTCATGCAGCAAAGCCAGACTACATCCAAGGGCCTGTACTTCCAGTTCACATCAATACAAAACAATACCCCAAAAGGAGTCCTTAAAATGTACCAGTTAAAGATAAATCATGATAAAATACATTTGTATTTACTGCTAAGTTATTAGTTTTTAGCTCTTAAGGAAATATATAATAAAGACTTGTCACTCCTAAAAACAAAGGACAAGGGTAAAATCAATTAATCTGTTCTCTTCCTTTCCTCAAAAAAAAGCATGTGTATTGCACTTCCAGTTGCCACTTTGTTTTCTAGAGTTATTGATGATACTTAAACATCTCTACTAGCATTTTCTATGGAAAATTAGTTTGCATGCATGTGTCAAAATGGACAGAAGTCACTATTGTAAAAACACACAGATCACTTTCAGTAAGATGTTTCAAAATTCTAGTTATTTCAAATAACCCCATTCAAATATTTTTAACCAATTATTTGAGTAAAAACAAACAGCTCTATGTTACAACAAAGCAAGAAAAAATGAATAAAGAAAAACTTAGGTTAAGAAAAGAAAAATGAATGAAATGGCTAATCTGGGAACTAGCAATAGGATATTATAATTCATAATCAAAGGCTTCAATCTAATCCAAGTTAAATGTTACTTCCAAATTATCTGTATTTCATAACTGTTAAACAAATGAAATGGCATATCATCTAAGAAGGGGATTGTTGGTAAAACTGTAATGTTTCCATAATATCTCACCTGGCTTTAGTATATCTGCATATCAATAGGCATTCAGTGATGAAAAGAAGTATGGCTTTAGTGCATTTGCATCATCCCTCAGGGGTGGAGAGAAGTTCATCTCCATATCAATGGGTAATTACCTGGCCACAGAGGGCTTATCAGTCCCTGAGAGGTGAGGGGGTGGTGCCGGTTTTGCTTCTGCTGGAGCAGGAGAGAGAGAGGTCCACGGACTGCAGTTTGTGAGCAATAAATGGATTTTAAACTTTATTTCTCCCTTTGACTGATTTCGGTTTTAGAGGTATTTTGCCCTGGGATTTCCTTTCCCCAGACTTACAGGGATCTATTTAGATCACTGACCAGTGCCAAATTTCTCCAAGAACTTATTTTTATCAAGGTCACTGTGAGTTAAACTGATCTTATAATAAGAAGATTCTAAAATATCCAGTAGAAGAAAAAAATTATTTGTAGAAAGCAAAACAAATTCAACTCAAAACATAATACAAAAACAATAGGTTCAGGGCTTATAAGGATGTCTTAAAGAGTTTATTTTAAAGGAAATCTTTCAATTAAGGTATCATTGATATACTCTTATGAAGGTTTCACATGAAAAACATTGTGGTTCTACATTTACCCATATTATCAAGTCCCCCCCATACCCCATTGAAGTCACTGTCCATCAGTGTAGTAAGATGCCACAGAGTCACTACTTGTCTTCTCCGTGCCACACTGTGGAAGTCAAAGCACTTCAACAAAATTACTTCTAATAATCCTTCTCCTTCTAAGATGAGGATTCTTCTTCTTACAGGGGAGATAATCAAGCCTTGAGCTGGACTATTACATGGCTCTTCAGAGGACACCTGGCAGGACTCTAGAGAGAAATGAAGTCACTGGCTGGAAAGGGATGGAAGCAGTCTTTTTTCCCTACACCCTGCTCACTCACTGTGCATTGTCAAGCTTACTGAGAGAGTTTACACCCCCAGGCAACCTTATGGGCATATGAATTTTGGAACTAAAGTGATAAAAAGAAAACACCTTAAATATTTATACGCATGCACACACACACACACACACACAATGGTTTTGCAGTCACTGTTCAAGCTCACTGACAGTCAGTGTCCTCTGTCTGGATCTGACAAGAGCAAGGTAGAACAGGGAATACCTGATGAGAGCTCCGTGCTCCTCCCTGGCCGCCTCACTGACATCTGCTCTCCCACTTGGCCCAGGAGGCTCTACGCTTCTGGGGATTTGGGTTTGTTTGTTGAAGTCTCAACTGTAATAAAATTCTGCCTGGAAAACCTGAAGTTCACAACTCTCTCACCAAATGCAAAAAAAAAAAGCCCAACAGAGTCCAAAATAAACACACAGACTCTGTGAATGGATTTTGACACCAACCTCATGCTTCAGCTTCATGAAAGCCAAGTCCTAAGAATGTGTGACAGTCTCAGGACCAAAGAAAACATAAAATACAGAGCAGCATGAGGAATGGTGATCAGAGCATTCTACTGCCATATCCCAGACTAGACTTCACCTTGGTGCCTCACCTGTGAAAGATGCTCAGCATGTCCTGCCTGAATGACCCAGGACTCCTGCAATGACATGAATGCTCAGCTGTGGCTCAGGGACGCTCACCCTTTCTGCATCTCAGACAGACACTGCCAGGGAATTTGGCTCACTTCATGAGGAAGCCTTTGATATGCAGGAACTCTTCTCCATAAACTACTTACTGCTCATTAACGCACTAAGGGTGAGAAAACACTGATGACATTCTTAAACCATATGGAAATCTTCTAATTTATGAGAGAATGCATTTTGTTTCAAGTGGGTCTTAGTTACTACTTTGGTAGAAACAACCACCACATGAATAAACATTAGCTCATGATCTTCACCTCCCCTTCCTCACCCGCACTCCCATCCCAGACAGCTCACTCACCCCTGTCCTCAACAGTCCAGGCAGAAGAGTGTGAACATCCTTTCTCCCCCAGGAAATGGTGTGCAGGGAGAGCAGGCAGGTGAAGCCTGCACAGGCCATCGGGCCACACATCCAGCAGATGTTAGGACCTTTCACTTCCTCCCCCCGCACCATACACATTTTGGAAAGGGTCATATAAACTCTCAAAATACACTAAAATAAGCCTCACTTCCCAAAATTCCAAGATCCAGGGGAAAAGAAAGAATAAAGTACATAAAGTTTCTCTTTCTACTGCTTTTGCTCCGGATTAAATATAAAGAATATGAATTCTCACATCAGATACATTAAACTAGTCCATAATGAGCAAGCTTTTATGTCTCAGAATACAATGTAGATTTGAACCACAGTGACCTTTAGGTAAAAAAACTTTATAACTAATTTTCTGTTTCCCATCACTCTGATTCATTGGGAAATTCCAAGTAAAGAGCAAGCCAACATTTTTTCTTATTAAGGTATGATTGATATACACTCTTATGAAGATTTCACATGAAAAACAATGTGGTTACTACATTCACCCTTATTATCAAGTCCCCCCCATACCTCAATGCAGTGTCCATCAATGTAGTCAGATGCCACAGATCCACTATGTGCCTTCTCTGTGCTGCACTGTTTTCCCTGTGACCACCCTACACCATGTGTACTAAACGCAATACCCATCAATCCTCTTCTGCTCCCTCCCCACCCGGTCTCCCACACCCCTCCCCTTTGGTAACCACTAGTTCATTCTTGGAGTCTATGAGTCTGCTGCTATTTTGTTCCTTCAGTTTTGCTTCATTGTTATACTCCACAAATGAGGGAAATCATTTGATACTTGTCTTTCTCTGCCTAGCTTATTTCACTGAGCATAATGTCCTCCAGCTCCATCCATGTTGTTGCAAATGGTAGGATTTGTATCTTTCTGATGGCTGAATAGTATTCCATTGTGTCTATGTACCACTTCTTCTTTATTCATTCATCTACTGATGGACACTTCCATATCTTGGCTATAGTAAAAAGTGTTGCAATAAACATAGGGGTTCATATGTCTTTTTGAATCTGAGAAGTTGGATTCTTTGGGTAAATTCCAAGGAGTGGGATTCCTGGGTCAAATGGTATTTCTATTTTGAGTTTTTTGAGGAACCTCCATATTGCTTTCCACAATGGTTGAACTAGCTTACATTCCCACCAGCAGTGTAGGAGGGTTCTGCTTTCTCCACATCCTCGCCAGCATTTGTTGTTCTTAGTCTTTTTGATGCTGGCCATCCTTACTGGTGTGAGGTGATATCTCAGTGTGGTTTTAATTTGCATTTCCCTGACGATTATTGATGTGGAGCATCTTTTCATGTGCCTGTTGGCCATCTGAATTTCTTCTTTGGAGAACGGTCTCTTCATATCCTCTGCCCATTTGTTAATCAGGTTATTTGCTTTTTGGGTGTTGAAGCATGTGAGTTCTTTATATATTTTGGATGTTAACCCCTTGTCGGATATGTCATTTACAAACATATTCTCCCATACTGTAGGATGCCTTTTTGTTTTGTTGATGGTGTCCTTTGCTGTACAGAAACTTTTTAGTTTAATGTAGACCCATGAGTTCATTTTTGCTTTCATTTCCCTTGCTTGAGGAGATGCATTCAGGAAGAAGTTGTTCATGCTTATATTCAGGAGATGTTTGCCTATGTTTTTTTCTAAGAGTTTTATGGTTTCATGCCTTACATTCAGGTTTTTGATCCATTTTGAGTTTACTTCAGTGTATGGGGTTAAATAATAATCCAGTTTCATTCTCTTGCATGTAGCTGTTCAGTTTTACCAACACCAGCTGTTGAAGAGGCTGTCATTTCCCCTTTGTATGTCCATGGCTCCATTATCATATTTTAATTGACCGTATATAGTGGAGTTTATATCAGGGCTCTTTAGTCTGTTCCATTGGTCTATGGGTCTGTTCTTGTGCCAGTACCAAATTGTCTTGATTACTGTGGCTTTGTAGTAGAGCTTGAAGTCAGGGAGCAGAATTCCCCCTACTTTATTCTTCCTCCTCAGAATTGCTTTGGATATTCGGGGTCTTTTGTGGTTTCATATGAATTTTAGAACTATTTTCTGTAGTTCATTGAAGAATGTTGTTGGTATTTTGATACGAATTGCATTGAATCTTTAGATTGCTTTAGGCAAGATGGCCATTTTGACAATATTAATTCTTCCTATCCATGAGCACTGGACGTGTTTCCATTTATTGATATCTTCCTTAATTTCTCTCATGAGTGTCTTGTAGTTTACAGAGTATAGGTCTTTCACTTCCTTGGTTAGGTTTATTCCTAGGTATTTTATTATTTTTTGATGCAACTCTGAATGGAATTGTTTTCCTGATTTCTCTCTCTGCTAGTTCATTGTTAGTGTATAGGAATGCCACACATTTCTGTTTATCAATTTTGTATCCTACAACTTTGCTGAATTCAGGTATTAGTTCTAGTAGTTTTGGAGTGGATTCTTTAGGTTTTTTTTATATACAATATCATATCATCTGCAAACAGGGATAGTTTATCTTCTTCTTTACCATCTGGATGCCTTTTATTTCTTTGTGTTGTCTGATTGCTGTGGCTAGTACCTCCAGTACTATGTTGAATAGAAATGGGGAGAGTGGGCATCCTTTTCTTGTTCCCAATCTTAAAGGAAGAGCTTTCAGCTTCTTGCTGCTGAAAGTATGCTGTTGGCTGTGGGTTTGTCATATATGGCCTTGATTATGTTGAGGTACTTGCCCTCTATACCCATTTTGTAAAGAGTTTTTATAATGAATAGATGTTGAATTTTGTTGAATGCTTTTTCAGCATCTATGGAGATGATCATGTGGTTTTTGTGCTTCTTTTTGTTGATGTGGTAGATAATGTTGATGGATTTTTTAATGTTGTTCCATCCTTGCATCCCTCAGATGAATCCCACTTGATCATGCTGAATGATCCTTTTGATGTGTTTTTGAATTGTTTGCTAATATTTTGTTGAGTATTTTTGCATCTATGTTCATTAGGGATATTGGTCTGCAATTTTCTTTTTTTGTGGTGTCTTTGCCTGGTTTTGGTATTAGAGTGATGCTTGCCTCATAGAATGAGTTTGGAAGTATTCCCTCTTCTGCTCTTTGGAAACCTTTAAGGAGGATGGGTATTAGGCCTTCACTAAATGTTTGATAAAACTCAGCGGTGAAGCCATCTGGTCCAGGAGTTCTGTTTGTAGGTTGGTTTTTGATTACCAGTTCAATTTTGTTGCTGCTGATTGGTCTGTTCAGATTTTCTGTTTCTTTCTGGGTCAGCCTAGGAAGGTTGTATTTTTCTAGAAAGTTGTCCATTTCTTCTAGGTTATCCAGTTTGTTATGATACAATTTCTCATAGTATTCTCTAATAATTCTTTGTATTTCTGTGGTGTCCATAGTGATTTTTCCTTTCTCATTCCTGATTCTGTTTATGTGTGTAAACTCTCTTTTTTTCTTGATAAGTCTGGCTAGGGGTTTATCTATTTTGTTTATTTTCTTGAAGAACCAGCTCTTGCTTTCATTGATTCTATTGTTTTATTCTTCTCAATTTTATTTATTTCTGCTCTAATCTTTATTATGTCCCTCCTTCTACTGACTTTGGGCCTTATTTGTTCTTCTTTTTCTAGTTTCATTAATTGTGAGTTTAGACTGCTCTTATGGGATTGTTCTTCTTTCTTGAGGTAGGCCTGCACTGCAATGTACTTTCCTCTTAGCAGGCCTTCTCTGCGTCCCACAGATTTTGCGGTGTTGAATTATTGGTGTCATTTGTCTCCATATATTGTTTGATCTCTGTTTTTATTTGGTCATTGAGCCATTAGTGATTTAGGAGCATGTAATTAAGCCTCTATGTGTTTGTGGGATTTTTCATTTTTTTGTGTAGTTTATTTCTAGTTTCATACCTTTGTGGTCTGAGAATCTGGTTGGTAAAATTTCAATCTTTTTGAATTTACTGAGGCTATTTTTTGGCCTAGTATATGATCAATTCTTGAAAATGTTCCATGTGCACTTGAGAAGAATATGTATTCTGCTGCTTTTGGGTGTAGAGTTCTGTAGATGTCTGTTAGGTGCATGTGTTCTAATGTGTTCTTGAGTGCCTCTGTCTCCTTACTTATTTTCTGTCTGGTTGATCTGTCCTTCAGAGTGAGTGGAGTGCTGAAGTCTCCTAGAATGAATGCATTGCATTCTATTTCCCCTTTTAATTCTGTTAGCATTTGTTTCACATATGTACGTGCTTCTGTGTTGGGCACATTGGTATTTATAATGGTTATATCTTCTTGTTGGATTGACCCCTTTATTATTATGTAATATCCTTGTCTCTTGTGACTTTCATTGTTTTGAAGTCTACTTTGTCTGATACAAGTACTGCAACTTCTGCTTCTTTTTCCCTATTAGCTGCATGAAATATCTTTTGCTATCTCTTCATTTTTAGTCTGTGTATGTCATTGGGTTTAAAATGAGTCTCTTGTAGGCAGCATATAGATGGGTCTTGTTTTTTTATCCATTCAGTGACTCTATGTCTTTTGATTGGTGCATTCAGTCCATTTACATTTAGGGTGATTATCAATAGGTATGTACTTATTGCCATTGCAGGCTTTAGATTCATTGTTACCAAAGGTCAAGGT